GAATTCCAAATTTTGCACACGTACTCAGATCCGGTGACAATGCATCAATTCATCGATTGATTGGCTCTTTTAAAGCAATTCACATTTTGTATGGGCGGCTCATTAATTCAATATTTATTTGGCTAGGTCAAAAAAACGCCGCCGTCCCTAAACTCTGGAATCGCCTCGCCCAAGAAGCAGGCCCCGCCACGTCGTCCCACTTCCCGTTGTCCAATCGACTTATTTACTGTTTAGTGCACTTTAAAATAAAACCGTTGTTTAAAAACAAAACTTTATTTTTAAAAGGAGTTTATTTGCGGTCTCGCGCGCACGAAGATAAAGACCAAATATGCCCCCGGGTGACCTTGGCCAGAGTGCTGTTAGCGAGCACCTATTAAGTGCTGTTAGCGAGCACGTATTAAGTGCTGTTAGCGAGCACCTATTAAGGCCCGGCGAGGGCGCTGCAAGCGATGTTGTAGCCGACGGCGCGCCCGGCCGCCTTTGTCTCCCCAGGGCAGATGCTTACACATATCCTCGAGGTCGACTCAAAGATGAAGATTCCCCCGTAAGGCCTCAACGGGCTGTTTGGGGCAAGTGCTGTGAGCCAGCACCTATGAAGGCCGGCACGGTGGCACACGAGGGGGTGGGTGGCCAGCAGCACGCCCGGCCGCCTTTGTCTCCCCCAGTGGCGATGTTTACTACACACCTTACCAGGTACTCATTTGAGGCTGAGTCGACCTAGGGGAGGCCCAGGACCGGTTCAGACAATCGTCACCGGTGTTGGCCTGAGCCGGAATCGAACTCAGGTCGCCGGGTTCGTAGCGCAGCGCGTTAACCGCTACACTACCGCTCCCTTCACGGCAAAGACAAAGATCCCCCGTATAGCCTGTAAAGATTGTTGGGGCAAGTGCTTTTAGCGAGCACCTATGAAGTCGACTTTACACACTAACACAAAGATAAAGCTTCCACGTATAGGCGACACAGGCTGTTGGGAAAAGTGATGTTAGCCAGCTCCTATTCAGGCTGGAACCGCGAGCGAGGTGGGGGGAGGGGGGGGGGGTGTTGTGGCCAGCACCACTCCCGGCCGCCTTTGTATCCCCCAGTGTTGATGTTTACACGTAGTACAAGGTACTAATTTTACGGCTGAGTGGACCTAGGGGATGCCAGGACCGAGTTCACCAAACAAGACGAAGACGAAGATCCCGCCGTGTAGCCTCGAACAGAACACGATGGGTGCAAGCGCTGCAAGCGAGAAAACTATGAAGGCCGTGACGGTGCAAGGCGGGGGTGGGTGGCCAGCACCACGCCCGGCCGCCTTTGTCTCTCCACGGCCGATCTATGCGACTCATAAACTCGGTCGGCTCTACACACGAAGACAAAGATACCGCGTGTAGCCTTAACAGACTGTTGGGGCAAGTGCTGTTAGCGAGTAAGCACCTCCGAAGGCCGGAGACGGCACACGAGTGTGATGTGAGTGGCCAGCACCCGGCCGCCTTTGTTGACACACTGACACACGCGCACTCATTATCCCACGCAGTCCTTATCGTGATCAGACGTCGCTATGAGCTCACAGATTGTTAACAGCATAGAGCTCATGTGCCTAATGAGACCCATTAGCACCACTACCCCCCCACCCCCATCAGCACCACCTCCTCCCACGCATCATCACCACTCCTCCGTGATCATCATCACGACATCGCCATCACCAAAACACCATCATCATCATCACCACCACCACCAAAACACCACCAAAACACCACCAACATCATCATCACCACAACACCACCATCATCATCATAATCACCACAACACCATCATCACCAAAGCACCAGCACCACCACCATCATCACGACAACACCACCATCATCATTATCATCACCACAACACCACCATCATCATAATAACCACAATACCACCATCATCACCAAAACACCACCACCATCATCATCACCATCACCAAAACACCACCACCATCATCATCACGACAACACCACCATCATCATCATAATCACCACAACACCACCATCATCACCAAAACACCACCACCATCATCATCACCACCACCACAACACCACCATCATCACCAAAACACCACCATCATCACAACACCACCATCATCATCATCATCACTAAAACACCACCATCATCACCACAACACCACCATCAACATCATCACCACAACACCACCATCATCATCATAACACCATCATCACCGCAACACCACCATCATCATCACCACAACACCACCATCATCATCACCACAACACCACCATCATCATCATCACCACAACACCACTATCATCATCATCATCATCACCACAACACCACAATCATCACCACCACAACACCACCATCATCATCATCATCACAACACCACCATCATCATCATCACCACAACACCACCATTATCATCATCGCCACAACACAACCATCATCATCATCATCACCACAACACCACCATCATCATCACCACAACACCACCATCATCATCACCACAACACCACCATCATCATCATCACCACCCCCGCGGTGGATAAAATAGGTACCACGTGGCGACTGCAGCTGTTATGATTCACGTATGACCGGGCCCCGGCAGGGGAACGTGAAATTCCACGTATGACGTCATGTATACACCGCTGAAGACGACCAGCAACGACCAGCACTCGCCACAAGGAGGAGACACCTCGTCAAGCGATGACGGTGATGGATCACCTCGTCTAGCCATGACGGTGATGGATCACCTCGTCTAGCGATGACGGTGATGGCTCACCTCGTCAAGCGATGACGGTGATGGATCACCTCGTCTAGCGATGACAGTGATGGATCACCTCGTCAAGCGATGACGGTGATAGATCACCTCGTCAAGCGATTACGGTGATGGATCACCTCGTCTAGCCATGACGGTGCTGGATCACCTCGTCTAGCGATTACGGTGATGGATCACCTCGTCTAGCCATGACGGTGATGGATCACCTCGTCAAGCGATGACGGTGATGGATCACCTCGTCTAGCGATGACGGTGATGGATCACCTCGTCAAGCGATGACGGTGATAGATCACCTCGTCAAGCGATTACGGTGATGGATCACCTCGTCTAGCGATGACGGTGATGGATCACCTCGTCTAGCGATGACGGTGATGGATCACCTCGTCTAGCAATTATGGTGATGGATCACCTCGTCTAGCGATGACGGTGATGGATCACCTCGTCTAGCCATGACGGTGATGGATCACCTCGTTTAGCGATGACGGTGATGGATCACCTCGTCTAGCGATGACGGTGATGGATCACCTCGTCTAGCAATTATGGTGATGGATCACCTCGTCTAGCGATGACGGTGATGGATCACCTCGTCTAGCCATGACGGTGATGGATCACCTCGTCTAGCGATGACGGTGATGGATCACCTCGTCTAGCCATGACGGTGATGGATCACCTCGTCTAGCGATGACGGTGATGGATCACCTCGTCTAGCGATGACGGTGATGGATCACCTCGTCTAGCCATGACGGTGATGGATCACCTCGTCTAGCCATGACGGTGATGGATCACCTCGTCTAGCGATGACGGTGATGGATCACCTCGTCTAGCAATTATGGTGATGGATCACCTCGTCTAACGATGACGGTGATGGATCACCTCGTTTAGCGATGACGGTGATGGATCACCTCGTCTAGCGATGACGGTGATGGATCACCTCGTCTAGCGATGACGGTGATGGATCACCTCGTCTAGCGATGACGGTGATGGATCACCTCGTCTGGCGATGATGGTGATGGATCACCTCGTCTAGCCATGACGGTGATGGATCACCTCGTTTAGCGATGACGGTGATGGATCACCTCGTCTAGCGATGACGGTGATGGATCACCTCGTCTAGCCATGACGGTGATGGATCACCTCGTCTAGCGATGACGGTGATGGATCACTTCGTCAAGCGATGACGGTGATAGATCACCTCGTCTAGCCATGACGGTGATGGATCACCTCGTCTAGCGATGACGGTGATGGATCACCTCGTCTAGCGATGACGGTGATGGATCACCTCGTCTAGCGATGACGGCGATGGATCACCTCGTCTAGCCATGACGGTGATGGATCACCTCGTCTAGCCATGACGGTGATGGATCACCCCGTCTAGCCATGACGGTGATGGATCACCTCGTCTAGCGATGACGGTGATGGATCACCTCGTCTAGCGATGACGGTGATGATGGTTCACCTCGTTTGCTGATAGTGGTGAGTTTTGACATCATTCACGACTCACCACGCGCGCGACACTCACCTCTCGCTAGACAATACCCACTCACTCACCAGACACTCACCAATCACTCACTCACCAGACACTCACCAATCACTAGACAATACCCACTCACTCACTCACCAGACACTCACCAATCACTAGACAATACTCACTCACCAGACACTCACCAGACACTCACCAATCACTCACTCACCAGACACTCACCAATCACTCACTCACCAGACACTCACCAATCACTAGACAATACCCACTCACTCACTCACCAGACACTCACCACTCACTCACTCACCAGACACTCACCAATCACTAGACAATACCCACTCACTCACTCACCAGACATTCACCACCCACTAGCTGGACACACCACTCACTCACCAGACGCTCACCAATCACTAGACAATACCCACTCACTCACTCACCAGACACTCACCAATCACTAGACAATACCCACTCACTCACTCAGCAGACAGTCACCACCCACTAGCTGGACACACCACTCACTCACCACTCACTCACCACTCACTCACCAGACACTCACCGGACACTCATCAGACACTCACCACTCACTCATCAGACACTCACCACTCACTCACCAGACACTCACCACTCACTCACCAGACACTCACCGGACACTCACCAGACACTCACCACTCACTCACCACTCACTCACCAGACACTCACCGGACACACCACTCACTCACCACTCACTCACCAGACACTCACCAGACACTCACCCCTCACTCACCAGACACTCACCCAGATGTTGATAGCGAGCCGTGCACCCAGCTCCGCCTGCCTGTGTACACCCTCGGGTGAGGGACTCGGGTGAGACCTCAGCGAGTGAGTGACTCTGGTGAGTGACTCTGGTGAGTGACTCTGGTGAGTGACTCTGGTGAGTGACTCTGGTGAGTGACTCAGGCCGCGTGGTCCCTGGACCCCCGCATCGCAGCCGCGGCGTCCGAATGGAGGAACCCCAAAAAACTCCCAGAGCCAAACACGAGGGGTGACCCAACCCCTCAGCCCCGCCCCCTCACCCCCTCCACTCACCCCGCCCCCTCACCCACTCCACTCACCCCGCCCCTCACCCCCTCCACTCACCCCCCCCTCACCCCCTCCACTCACCCCGCCCCTCACCCCCTCCACTCACCCCCCCCTCACCCCCTCCACTCACCCGCCCCTCACTCTCCTCCACTCACCCTCCACTCACCCGCTCCCTCACCCTCCACTCACCCCGCCCCTCACCCCCTCCACTCACCCGCTCCCTCACCCGCTCCCTCACCCTCCACTCACCCTCCACTCACCCGCCCCCTCACCCTCCACCCCTCCACCCCTGCCCCGCCCTCCGCCCTCCCGCTCCCATCCTCAAATCATTCCCTCACCTCAATCCACCTTCCCTCACCAACACTGTCACCCTCACTCACTCACCTCACCACCCTCACTCACCACCCTCACTCACCTCACCACCCTCACTCACCTCACTACCCTCACTCACCACCCTCACTCACCTCACCACCCTCACTCACCACCCTCACTCACCTCACTCACCTCACTACCCTCACTCACCACCCTCACTCACCTCACTACCCTCACTCACCACCCTCACTCACCTCACTACCCTCACTCACCACCCTCACTCACCACCCTCACTCACCTCACCACCCTCACTCACCACCCTCACTCACCACCCTCACTCACCTCACAACCCTCACTCACTACCCTCACTCACCTCACCACCCTCACTTACCACCCTCACTCACCACCCTCACTCACCTCACTACCCTCACTCACCTCACCATCCTCACTCACCATCCTCACTCACCGTCCTCACTCACCGTCCTCACTCACCATCCTCACTCACCTCACTACCCTCACTCACCTCACCACCCTCACTCACCACCCTCACTCACCTCACCACCCTCACTCACCTCACCACCCTCACTCACCTCACTACCCTCACTCACCTCACTACCTTCACTCACCTCATCAACTTCCCTCACTACCTTCCCTCACCTCACTACCCTTCCCATTCCCTCCCCTCACCATGTTCCCTCACCTCACTAATCCTTCCCTCACCTCACCTCACCATGTTCCCTCACCTCACTATTCCTTCCCATTCCCTCACCTCACCATGTTCCCTCACCTCACTATTCCTTCCCATTCCCTCACCTCACCACACTTCTCTTACCCCCCACCCATCCTCCCCCCCCCCCCCGTTCATTGACCATTTCCTTACCCCCCTCACCCCCACCGCTCCCCCCTACCCCTCACCCCCCTCCCCAGTACCCCTCACCCCCCCCCGTACCCCTCACCACGGCTAAGTGATCGCTCGGCATGGCCGTAATGGGCCGGCGGAACTGCCAATACGGGTCACGTGGTGCAATCGAGTCCCACGCGGCGCGGTAGCGGTGGTTGGTGGCGGTGGTGAGGCCGCGGCTACTCACCGCGCGGTGACCCTGCGACGCAGCTGTGCCCGGTAGCGATATCGCTCCGCGCCCGGCGAGTTACTCGGTTCACGGGTCACTCACACAGAACAACTCTCCCCTGGGGTGTTGGTGTGAGTGAACGTTTTGAGCGGACCAATTATTATTATTATTTTACAAAAAAAATTCAAGGAGCTACATATTTTAAAAAAGAGAAATATTTAATGGGAACTAACTCCTTCGAGAACATGTGTTTTCGTTTGAAGTGATAGTCTCAGCACGGTCCACTGACGACTCACACAGAGACCCATAGACTCACGGGACTCACACAGAGACCCATAGACTCACGGGACTCACACAGAGACGCATAGACTCACAGGACTCACACAGAGACCCATAGACTCACGGGACTCACACAGAGACGCATAGACTCACAGGACTCACACAGAGACCCATAGACTCACGGGACTCACACAGAGACCCATAGACTCACGGGACTCACACAGAGACCTATAGACTCATGGGACTCACACAGAGACCCATAGACTCATGGGACTTACACAGCGACCCATAGACCCATGGGACTCACACAGAGACCCATAGACTCACAGGACACACACAGAGACCCATAGACTCATGAGACTCACATAGAGACCCATAAACTCATGGGACTCACACAGAGACCTATATACTCATAGGACTCACACAGAGACCCATAGACTCGTGGGACTCACACAGAGACCCATAGACTCATCGGACTCACACAGAGACCCATAGACTCACAGGACTCACACAGAGACCCATAGACTCATGGGACTCACACAGAGACCCATAGACTCATGGGACTCACACAGAGACCCATAGACTCATGGGACTCACACAGAGCCCCATAGACTCATCGGACTCACACAGAGACCCATAGACTCACAGGACTCACACAGAGACCCATAGACTCGTGGGACTCACACAGAGACCCATAGACTCATCGGACTCACACAGAGACCCATAGACTCACAGGACTCACACAGAGACCCATAGACTCATGGGACTCACACAGAGACCCATAGACTCATGGGACTCACACAGAGACCCATAGACTCATGGGACTCACACAGAGCCCCATAGACTCATCGGACTCACACAGAGACTCATGGGACTCACACAGAGACCCATAGACTCACAGGACTCACACAGAGACCCATAGACTCACGGGACTCACACAGATACCCATAGACTCATGGGACTCACACAGAGACCCATAGACTCATGGGAATCACACAGAGACCCATAGACTCACAGGACTCACACAGAGACCCATAGACTCACGGGACTCACACAGAGACCCATAGACACATGGGACTCACACAGAGACCTATAGACTCATAGGACTCACACAGAGACCCATAGACTCATGGGACTCACACAGAGACCCATAGACTCATGGGACTCATACAGAGACCCATAGACTCATAGGACTCACACAGAGACCCATAGACTCATAGGACTCACACAGAGACCCATAGATTCATGGGACTCACACAGAGACCCATAGACTCATGGGACTCACACAGAGACCCATAGACTCATGGGACTCACACAGAGACCCATAGACTCATGGGACTCACACAGAGACCCATAGACTCATGGGACTCACACAGAGACCCATAGACTCATGGGATTAACACAGAGACCTATAGACTCATGGGACTCACACAGAGACCCATAGACTCATGGGACTCACACAGAGACCGATAGACTCATGGGACTCACACAGAGACCCATAGACTCATGGGACTCACACAGAGACCCATAAACTCATGGGACTCAAACAGAGACCTATATACTCATAGGACTCACACAGAGACCCATAGACTCATGGGACTCACACAGAGACCTATCGACTCATGGGACTCACACAGAGACCCATAGACTCATGGGACTCACACAGAGACCCATAGACTCATGGGACTCACACAGAGACCCATAGACTCATGGGAATCACACAGAGACCCATAGACTCACAGGACTCACACAGAGACCCATAGACTCATGGGAATCACACAGAGACCCATAGACTCACAGGACTCACACAGAGACCCATAGACTCACGGGACTCACACAGAGACCCATAGACTCATGGGACTCACACAGAGACCTATAGACTCATAGGACTCACACAGAGACCCATAGACTCATGGGACTCACACAGAGACCCATAGACTCACAGGGCTCACACAGAGACCCATAGACTCATGGGACTCACACAGAGACCCATAAACTCATGGGACTCAAACAGAGACCTATATACTCATAGGACTCACACAGAGACCCATAGACTCATGGGACTCACACAGAGACCTATCGACTCATGGGACTCACACAGAGACCCATAGACTCATGGGACTCACACAGAGACCCATAGACTCGGATATCGACCCAAAGGCTCACAAGAGACACCGACTCACAGAGAGAACCAAAGACGCACAGCGAGTGAGAGGGTTGGTGAATAAATAGTAGAGTGGGTTCGTGGGATGATGACTGAGTGGGTGAGTGAACGAGTGGGTGAGTGAGTGAGTCAGTGAGATGGTGGGTGAGTGAATGAGTGAGATGGTGGGTGAGTGTGTGGGTGAGTGGATGAGTGAGATTGTGGGTGAGTGAATGAGTGAGATGGTGAGTGAGTGAGTCAGTGAGATGGTGGGTGAGTGAATGAGTAAAATGGTGGGTGAGTGAGTGGGTGAGTGGATGAGTGAGATGGTGGGTGAGTGAGTGGGTGAGTGGATGAGTGAGATGGTGGGTGAGTGAATGAGTGAGATGGTGAGTGAGTGAGTCAGTGAGATGGTGGGTGAGTGAATGAGTGAGTTAGTGGGTCAGTGAGATGGTGGGTGAGTGAATGAGTGAATTAGTGAGTGAGTGAGATGGTGAGTGAGTGAGTGGGTGAGGTGGTGGGTGAGTGTGTAAAAGATTGAGTGAGATGATGATTTAGTACATGTGAGTGAGTTAGTTAGTGAGTGAGTCAGTTAGTGAGTGAGTTAGTGCAATGATGAGTGAGTTAGTGAGTTAGTGAGTGGGTTAGTGTAATGATGAGTGAGTTAGTGAGTGAGTTAGTGAGTGAGTTAGTGTAATGATGAGTGAGTTAGTGAGTGAGTTAGTGTAATGATGAGTGAATTAGTGAGTGAGTTAGTGAGTGAGTTAGTGTAATGATGAGTGAGTTAGTAAGTGAGTTAATGTAATGATGAGTGAGTTAGTGAGTTAGTGTAATGATGAGTGAGTTAGTGACTGAGTGAGTTAGTCAGTTAGTGAGCTAGTGTAATGATGAGTTAGTGAGTGAATTAGTGAGTTAGTGAGTGAATTAGTGAGTGAATGAGTTAGTGAGTGAGTGAGTGAGTAAGTTAGTGTAATGATGAGTGAATTAGTGAGTGAGTTAGTGAGTGAGTTAGTGTAATGATGAGTGAGTTAGTGAGTGAGTTAGCGAGTTAGTGTAATGATGAGTTAGTGAGTGAGTTAGTGAGTGAATTAGTGCATTAGTGAGTGAGTGAGTTAGTGAGTGAGTGAGTCAGTGAGTG